TTCTTCTTCTTCCACGTGCCTTCCTCTGCGGCTCGGGCTCGCCTGTGTTCTGGTTCTTTGAGGTGAGTCTTCTCTGTTGTCTCGTCCCCGGCGGGACCGAGTGCTGGATTGATTGGTTCTCCTCCTTTCTGGCGACTTGCTTCGGTCACGGTATCGCCCACCCGATTTGGAAGAGCAGGCACTATCTCCTCCTTGCTTCTGGGTACCGCCTTTGATGAGTCCCTCAATCTCGTCCTTGAGGCGCCTGCTTTCCTTCGTGTTGTGGCCATCACTGCGATGAAACTTGCAGTATGCTGTGACCTCTTTGCTTGGCTGCTGGGACCGTTGGCTACTTTTGGGATCCTCTTTGTAGTCGGTTCGTAAGACACTGTGTGATCGTCGTTCTGATGTGTCTCGCCCTGAAGGACGAGTGGAACTGGTGGATGCTTGGTATCCTTTTCTACTTTCATCAGTGTGATTCTTTCCCTTGTTGACCGCCTTTTCTTGATTGTGGGAGTCACCAGCTCGACTCCCTTTGTATTCTTCAATTCTCATAAATTCTTGCGCTTTTTTCTTGACTTCTTCTAAGTCAGTAATCTCATGTCGTGCGAGTTCGTAAGCGAATTCTTCTTGTCGCAATATAACGTTGGGATCTATAAGCCCACTATGTTCCCTTTAGGGATGAGTCACTGTATGGGAGATACCTTTAGCTTAGGTACAGACCAGGCTAAGAGGTATTATGTCAAGCAATGGCAAGACAATAAGTAAGTGCAGTAAACAATAGGACTCGAAGTAAATGAGCAATATAACGATACATAAGATCCTTTAAGTTGTGCCCATGGGGGCTATTTATAGGGAAAATGGTGTGGGTTGGTGAGGAGGACCGAAATGTCCCATCTCGGGACCTAACCACCAAAGGCGCCAGCCACAGGCACCATAAAGGGAAACTACCCTATGCCCAGTGCTGACATCGCCAGACGCAGCGGCCTGGCCAGCTGGGCTGTACCAGTGCTTGGGCCATCCGGAACAATAACAGTTCCAAAAATAGGACAGCCAAGCAAAATTATTAAACAGGTCTCTACGTTGTGGAAACGAACAACTTCTAAGCTTATCAAAGTAGTTGATGTTATGCGGGAAAAATTCTCTCGATTTTATCTTTTCGTTCACTCAAGAGTTACATTACTTAAGAAAGCCTATTGTTATGAATCAAAATTGAAAGAAGTTATTTCAAGTCTGACTAGTAATAATCCACATTTTTAAGGAAATATTCAAATACCTGAAATTTGATATTTAGATTTTTTTTCTTTTTTAAGAGTTCGTTTTTTCTGCAGTTACTGCAGATAAGTTATTTGCAATAAGTCTAATACGACATTGTTTTGGGACGGAAATCATGGTATTTTGTAATTTTAATTTATTTTAGAGTATTATAGTCTTTATAATTATAATTTTTTAATATTTCAATCCCAAAACGACGTCGTTTTCGGAATAAATACAGACAATTTATTTGCAGTAACTACAGAAATATTTTTCTATTTTTTAAACTATATTCGAATACAAGAAATTCAGTGTTCGTATATTGTACAGGTTGTATCCATTCATTTATAAAATTCCACCAACCTTTTTCACCCCTTGTGCATGTGCATCTTCCAACCTATTTTTTTTAATATTTCAATCGGTTCATTGCTTCGCGACTAGCACGATTCGGGACAGGTTCCGAGATTAAGGTTTTAGACTCCTCACAAACACAATAATGGGAAAGATCGAGCACATACCCTCACCCCCACCTGCTCAGTTCCCTAGCGCCAACTGAACTACCACCCCAAACTTTAAACCACAAGTATTCTCTGTGTGAGGCTATTTTGTTCGGAGCGGATTCAGGATTAAGACTTTAAACCCCTCCCAAATATGGTACTCGGGAGGATCGAACACATGCTCTCACCTCCAGCCCATTTTTTAATTTACCTTATGCTTTTCTTAATTCTACCTAAAAGTGGGGGCGATAAGGATTGAACTCATGACCTCTTAGTCACTCCAACTCTGATATCATGTATGTAGAGAACCACTTCAACCCAAAATCTTAAGACATTATATGAGACTTAATTAATTATTTTGTATCTTTTGTATTTCTTTATCACAAACTCTCTCACAAGAGCCCTTTGGGCTTGAAGCGTGGATATGACACAAACCCATTTTTTGGTATACCTTGTGCTTTTCTTAATTTCATTTTTGTGAGGATTGAACTCATGACCTTTTGGTCACTCTAGTTTTGATACCATAATAAGCGTCACTTCAAGACAAAATTTTAAGGCATTGGGTGAGGCTACATTAATGATTTTATATCTTTTTAACACAACCCCTCATACAAGAGCCCTTTGGGCATGAAGGGTAGATAATATTGTAGAGGCCCACATGCTAAGAAACTACACAAGACTTAATTAATTATTAATTAAATGAGGGCGGTGAGGATGGAATCCGTAACACCAAGGTCACTCCAGCTCTGATACCATGATAAGCGCCACTTCAATCCAAAACTTTAACGCGTTGGGTGAGGCTACAAATCTTAAGGTGTTGGGTGAGACTACTTTAATAATTTTATATCTCTTTAACACACTCCTCATACAAGAGCCCTTTGGGCTTGAAGGATGGATAATGCACAGACTCCCTTATCTATGCTAAAAAACTATACAAGACTTAATTAATTATTAATTAAATCATGATGGAGAAGATCGAACCGTGACAGCAAGATCACTCCAACTCTGATACCATGTTAAGAACCACTTCAATCCAAAATCTTAAGATATTAAATGAAACTTAATTAATTATTTTTATATCTTTTGTATCTCTCTGACAAAATCAGCCATGGTTGAACTAGCAATGTACAATATGGTCGACTTTGGAGCCAAACCTGACAAGAAGACCGATTCCACCACGACATTCCTTAGTGCTTCGGACAAAGCTTGTGCCTCTTCTAACCCTGCTTTAATTTATACGTGCCACAAGGTAGGGAATGTAGCAACAATGCTATCTCTATAGCTATTGATGGAACCTTGATGGCTCCCTCTAATTACTGGGTCATTTCATCAAAAACCAAAAATTGGTTGATCTTCGAGCATCTCGACGGGGTTTTCATTCGTGGAGGGTTGCTTGATGCCCAAAGCAACACCTTGTGGGAAAGCAAGAACTCAGACGAAAGTAATTTCCCCCCTTTAGGAGCCTCGAAGGGTTGTCTCTACTTGAGGTGTTAGACTTTCTTCTTTATGACCTTCTATAGTATACCACGAGGGATAAGTACAGTTGCATTCGAATTTGGCGTTCATAATCTAGGATGGAAAATATATTCAAGAAAATGAAGATAGAAAATAAAAGTAAATTATGAGAGGGAAAGCATGGTGGTACCTAATACATTGGATCCACAACGATGGAGCTGCTGTCAAGGGTGGAGCATTCCAACCCACCGAGGTTCACTCTAGCCGTTACTTTTCTTAGGAAGACAATTGGTCCTAAGGAGGCAACAAGAGAGAGTTTATTCCTTTGTTGAAGCAATTAATCAAGGTTTGTGGTAGGCATGATTGAAGAATAATTTTAGGTAAATATTTTATGAAAATTATTAGTCTCATGTCAGAGGAGACTAGTATCTGATCATGTCATAGACACAAAACATATAAATCCACTTTTTTAAAATAAATGAGTTGTTGACCCAAATATTTTGTGAATATGACATGTGATACTAATCTCCTATCATACGAGAGTAGTATTTTTTTTTTTTTTGATAACAAGGGTAGTATTTTTAATATAGACTATGTTGCAACCCCAACCCGTGACTTAGTGGACAGAGGCTCAATCGGATTAAAAGACAATCACCGTACTTAGTGGACCCATTTTCTTTATTTTTCTTAAGTAGACTGTTAATTTCCATGTAATGAACATTGCTGAGAGCAAACCGTATTAAATAGCCCAATGGGGGGGCGTAAGAAGATATTCAGAAAATTTGGAGAAACCCTTTTCTTTCTCTTTTTCTCTCCTTCTCTCTAATTCTTGAGAACTTAAACCCTTCAGACTAGCTAATAATAATAATAGTTTATCTTAACTTTAGCTAGCGGCTATGAAAAGGATATAATTGGCTTTGGAAATAGTAGTATCATGTTAGACGTCAAGTAATGTATTAATTGGAGATTATTCCCAAGTCCAATTTAATCAGCATAAAATATCCCTGAATTAATAAATAGTGGGGACTATTCTATTCCAAACTATACTTAATTTTATAATTATTTTTTAATATAAATTATTATTGCTTTTCTAATTAATTATGATCTAAATTATAATTTTGTTACACAATGATTGATAATTGAACGGGGTGAATATTTGAAACTTAAAGGTTTTCAGAAAAGAGGTGGCATAAAACAGAGATACGTGATTTGTTTTTCTTAATTATTTATTTGCCGATATTTGATAAATGGTTTGGATGATATTATGAAAATTATGATATATTTTGTAACATATCGCGAAATTAAGAAATTACATAACTTACAATTAGGGGTGTGTAGCATGTTTAAAATTCGAATTAAACTTATGATTAGAGTGAAAATTATTTAAGTTAAGAAAATTATTTGAATTGCATTTGTAAGTGATATATATATATATATATATATATATATATATATATATATATATATATATATTCACTTACAAATGCAATTCAAATAATTTTCCTAACTAATATAACCTATGAAAATTTTATATAATACTTAGTAGGCACATGAAAGGATAATTAATAAATTACAGTAAGTAATGCCATTAGAAAATAATAAGTTGGATCCTTTTAGTTAAACTTAAACTCATCTTAAAGAAAACTCTAATTACTTTTGGTAATTATCCAAAGAATATGCCCTAGCCGCCCTTGCACCCAATAGGAAGGGAGAAATTCCCTTGTATGAAATCTTATTAGTCATTGAAAGCCATCACCTTCCCAGCGCCCAATGAGGGCAAAGACTGTATTATTATTATTTGGTCCTTTTTCTTTTGCTTGCATTCTTGAATCAGAATTTGATCCACACATCCCCTCTTTATGCGCTGATGAAGGAGAAAAACACTGCCTCCTTCTTCCTATTTCCTTTGAACTTAACTCAGCCCCTAAATTTCCTTCTCCAAGTCGTAAATCCTAGAGGATGAATCAAAGCTTACATAATTTCTCTCCTATTTTTCTTATGAACCGTGAGCTCAGAGGAAGAGAATAAAAACACATTCTTTTGCATTCTTTCTTAGTTCTGCCGTGTCACAGCCAAGAAGGAGATTACCATCTAAGTTCAACACCTTCCTCTCTCTGTTCGGCTTTGTATGCAGCAACAAAAGAGGTTACACATGAGCCCTCTCTCCCTCACCTTTGTTCGGCTGAAGGATTCATCTTGAGGAGGTGAAGTAAGATTTGTTGTCTTCTTGTTCCTCCTCACTAAATAGGTTCTGATCAAGCTTCTTTCCTTGCATTCCTGTGGTTAAATCTTAGTGGAGTCTCCCTTTTTTACTGCATGTGGCTGAAAACATCTTGCAAGGCAGATCTTCATCTTTCAATTCTGACCTGTACCCTCACGACTTGCAAGAATAAGTGATCTTTCTCCTACCCTCTCTGTTTTGGTTTCAGCGCATGAGCTGTTTGAGGGAACTGATCCTTGTCTTATTTCTGTTTTGACTCTTTGGCATGTTGAGGGGCGATGATGATGCTCCAAAATTCGGTGACTATTTTCTGCATTTAATTTAGGAGAAACATGGTTGCGTGGAAGAAGGTACAAGCCAAACTTTAAGTCTCCTCTAATCCTAATTGTTCGGTTGTGGGTGTGTTATAAAAAGATGCACTTTTTTGGTCATTCCTCTCTTAGTATTTTAATCGGCTTATGCTTGCAAATTTAAGAGAATTCTATTGTGTCCAATTGTTCCCTACTCTTGCCCTTGCACTGCCATAGAACCGTATGCCTCAAGTGAAAGTAAATAAAAAATTTAACCATTAACTGCTCCTTAATAGTTTGGTCAATACATGCAGACTAGGAGGGCATTTTATTTGTGCCATTGTCCTTCTCTAAATCCTGCCATTTTGCTTGCTGTACAGCCACCGAACCTTGATTATTGAAGTGGACAAACTTAAAAAACTGAATTGTTAAGGTTTAAAAACATAGCCATCTTGATGTTGATAAACCGATTCTTATATATATAGGATTTGGCTAATTTTTGCTTGTGTTGAAACTGCATGTATAGCTTACTTATGACCTTGTTCCTCCACCGTAAGCCTCATAGGGGATGCTTTGAAAATAAATTGATTTTGTGTATATGAATACTGGTCAAAACCGAAACAGAGTGTATAAGTCACCTAGGGACTTGGTGTTTGCTAGCAATTGAACTTATGTTTGGTTAAACATTGTATAAAATAATGACAACTTATATAAACAACCTGCTTTATGTCTTTTGGGCGTAACCTAGTCTTGGTAAATGATGACATGTGAATGAGGAAATTGTGGCACCTAACTATTAAGCAAAATTGAATCTGCTTGTAAAGAAAACTTTGGGTGTTGTCACTTAATAACCTTGGGTAATGTACTCTCAAGTCAGAAAATGTGCTTAGTTAGGAACATCGAAATTCGAGTATAAATCTAGTACTAAGGAGAATGGAAATTGCGAGTAATGGGTAAGAAATGTAAAACAAAAATCTTAGCATCTAATTATAACGGTATACCGAGTATGCATGTGTAATTTACTTGGATTATGTCACTTGAGAACATATGGTAATGCAACCTTAAGTCAGTATACTAGTTTAATTTAAGAATCTTGAAACCGTTGGGGAACCAAAGATTTAGGGGAATGGAAAAGCTATGTAATATAAAGGAATGAATGTAATAAATTCTGATTTGGTGTATATGTTTGTCTAGGTGCGCAAGGTCCTAGATACTTGGAATGTTTGATGACATTTGGAATGTTTGATTAGAAAGCTAAAGGGTCAGGTATGTGTTTGGTGGTAAAACCTACTGTGACTATTAGCTAGCGTATAGAATTTTGAACTGATGCTCACATGTGCCTCTGATTAGTATTCTGTTATATGTTATATGAAATGTGTCTTGGACTTGTCTTGATGGAAAATTCTGCCTATGGAAGTATTTGTGATTCGGCAGCTTGGTATTAAATATGCAAGAGATATATGCTAATATGATTATGATCTAGTCATGCATATGCACTTCATGTTTCAACTGTGTCTATTTGTGTGTGTGTCAAGCATGCCATTGCATACCACATTATGCATTCATCTTGGAGATTGAAGTATATAATAAATATAAGCATACGTTTGAGCACGCATCATATAGGCATCCCTACGGTACCAGGGTATGGGACACTTGGCTTCAGTCCGCATAGGTTGCAGTTGGAACCCTCTTGAGGAGCCACTGTGGGATCTCCACTGTACTTGTTAGTACGTGCACGACGGTGCTATGAACGTACTCTTTGGCGTTATATACGCATCTTGATTAGTATTTTGGCGTTATATACGCACTATGATTATATGTTAGCATCTGCCCGGAAAAATTAAATGTTGATGCGACTGTTTTGGAATTTTGTACCTAGTCTAATATTGTTGCTGTAATGGTTTTATTGCCGCACTACTGGGATTTCTCTCACCCTTTCGGGGGCTGCATTTTTATAAATTGCAGGAAGATAAAGAAATATTTGATAAAGCATGTCATTGGAAGTACTTGGTTGATGCTCTGCTGTTTGAGGATTACTGTTGTTAGTTCTGTTTCTATTGGATTAGATGCTGAAAGATTACATGCAATAAGATGTTATGAAGATTAGTAAACTTGTTTTGGGAATTGAATTCTGAAAATTTGATGAAGCATTGCTGAACTATGTAATTATGTTTATGAAAATATCCTAAGAATCATGCATGATGTTATCGCCGTTCCGATATCCAACTTATGTTATGCTTTACTTTCTATGCGTTGGACATGATTTAATTGAGTAATAGTGTGAGATCTTTTGAAGAATTACATGATAGGATGTATATCCTGTTTTGAAAAAGAAGCGTAGCATGATATGTATATGTTTGGTATTTAGTTTGCGAAAATAATTCTGCTGTATTTTAAAATTCGGATTTTTGAACTATTTTTGTGAGCACTTTGCGAGTTGTTGTTCTGGGGCTACTGGCCTCCGATTGAGGTATATTTTATATGGATGTAAAGCCCCAGTTGTGTACTTTCAGATTATATAAACCTTACAATGGAATTCTGAAACCCCGATTTATTATGATTTTTACAAGTCAGGAGGTTTTTAGAAAAATACACTGGAGTTTTTGAGTACTTTACGAGTTCTGTTTCAAGGGGCTATTCTCCTTCGATTCGCGTATAATTTATATGCACGCGAAGCCCCAGATGTCTAGTTTCTATATTACAAAGAATATTTTTTTGAATCGTTGAAATTGATTTTATACGAATTTTTCAAGACAGCAAGGTCTGTCAGGAAAGTTAGAAAATTCAGCAAGCTATGTATTTTTAAAATTGACACTCTGATTTTTATGAACAACTGGATTTCGACGCAAGTTTTTAATTAGCAACTAAAATGAATTTTTAGCACTCAAGTAATGACATTCAGAACTCTAATCCGCTTAGCAAACAACTCTCTTGGATATACAAGGGAGGGTGTTACATATTTATTTTTTAGAGTTAAGCATTTTGAAAGATTTATTTTATTATTTGAACGATTTAGAAAAGATACAATTTTTGGAATTATTTTTGTTGCCACTATATTTCTTATTTTGTTGTAAAATATGGATGATTTAAATCATGTTATAGTTATGCAATTATGGGTGACTTAAATCATATTACTGTTATCTCACCGTTGGCACTAATAGTGCAATTATCTTCTATTCATTATTCTGTAACCACCACACCAATGGAGTATTACTCCTTCATTCGTTGTAGTTTTATATATTAACATTGTTTGTATCAGATATCTGAGCTGAATGTGAATAAGAGTTCTACCCTACCTCTCTTTGTATTCTCTCTTCTCTTTCTCCCTCATTCATCTCCTTTATTTTATAACAAGTTATCAGCATGATCATTCCCTGAAAAAAATATTGTTCTTGCTCCTCAGAAGAGAAAAATAATGTTCCTATGACATTTAAGATTAGGAGTTTCACGTCCTAATCATTTCTCGTTATTTTCTTTTGGTTTAAATGGATTTGTATTCACTTCTAGTGAATTGACCATCATTAGGACACTTATATAGTAACATTGGTGAAATAACCATTTTTGGAAGATGTTCGATGTTCGATCTGCAAGCCGAGACAATAATATGTTTGAGACCATCATTTAATGATCTTTGCAGCTCGATGTTAAACATGCTGCGAATTTCAAACTTAGCCATCGGTAATCCCATTCGATCTACCGAGAACTCACGGTCATCCCACTGAAACACGGCATCTCGATGTACAGTGGTAGTATCACACTTTTCTCCGGTGGCAGTAATCACCCGCAACGGTGGAGAATGCACAAACATGGGCAACTCACGCCCCACAGCAATCGGGGTTGCAATAATGAATCATAGCCCCGGAGTCAAATAAAACATCAACAAATGATGCACCAAAGGTAACAGTACCTCAGACAAGGTTCGGAGCTTGGTCCGACTGCTGGCGATCCAATGTGTACACACGTCCAGTGGTCGGTGCCACAGCAGGTGCCACAGCAGGTGGAGCAGGAATCATCCGAAGAGGGGCCGCCTGAACCGCCGCAGCTCCAGCCACAGCAGTATAACAATCATTGGCCATGTGGCCACCTTTTCCACACTTGAAGCATATCAGCTCCCCAGTAGCACAAAGTCCCATATGCTCCTTTCCGCATCCCGTACATAAAGGAGTGGAGGAAGGTCTAGCAAAACCTCCCTGCTGTGTAGAGGTCCTCTTAAACTGACCAGGCGCCTGCCTAGCCGCAAATTGTTTTCCTTTGCCCTTTCCAGCAAACTTTCTGTCTTTCCAAGAAGTGGAACTGCTCGTTCCCTTCTTTTCAGCAATCTTGGCCCTCTTGGCCTTACTCGAGTTGCAGAAGTACTCGATGTCCCGACACTGCTGCACCAGTGTCCCAAAGTCTCTCAAAGCAGAACCAGCGAGGTAACCAGCAATATCCTCATTAAGTCCCCTGCGAAACTTAGCAGCCAAGAAGATCGGAGTTGGTCTCTCCATCCGAAAGTGAGCGAACTTAACCAGCTCATTGAACTTGGCCAGGTACTCATCAACAGACAACGAGCCCTGCACCAACCTGTTGAATTCTCCCTGCTTCCTCTCTTGCGCATCATAGGGGAAGTATCGACCCATAAAGCAATCCTCGAAAAATGACCATGTCATAACATGACCCTGCACCTCAAAAGCATAAGAGGTGTTCATCCACCACTCAAGGACATCGCCCTTCAACATATATGTGGCGAACATCAGCTTCTGTGGATCAGTACACTGCATCACACGGAAAATCTTGTCCAGCGCCTGATGTAAGAACCCGCACCGTTAATTATGGAAATTAAGTAATTAATTATGTTAAATTAGGAAATGATTCCATAATTGACCCTAATATTTATTAAGAGGCTTTAATAATTATGATAAGTGATTAAGAATGCTGAAATCGCTTTTCGAAAGAAAAGTGCAGATAGCGGTTCTGCGAGTCGGTATAAATGCGTACCGAAAAAGTATCCCAGAAAATTATAATAAGTGCATGATAATTCCTAGAATAATTTATAGGACTTTTAAAACGAGTCTCAAGTCAAAATAATGAGAACTGGTGCCGGAAACTGATACTGGCTATGAAAATCGCGTACAGGAAAGGTGCTCCGTAAAATATATTAAAAATATGAAAATTCTTGTAAAATTGAGTAGGTTAAGAATCCTGAGTTTGGTATTAAAATGCTAAGCGTAGCAATTAAAGTTAATACTGCGTGTTAATTGGTTAAGTGACTATATATACTCATGTTAAGCTCAAAACCCTAGGTAACTATATTTCCTACGTGAGAATTGAGAGTGGCTGACCAGCCTTGAGCCTTGCTTCATGGTCTTTTCACCATTGTGAGGGTTTGTGACCTTTTCTTCCAATTCTTCTTCTCTTTTATGGAGTAAACACTTGGGTGTGTGATTGGGAGTGAGTATGAGGCTTTGTTTCTGAGTTTTGGTGGCTGTGTTGTGCTTGAGAGGGGGCTGTGTTGGTGGGTTGTAGTGTTGGAGCCTTGGTCTTGGTGGTTGAAGCTCCAAGTGTCCACCTTTGTGAAGATAAACCAAGTCTTGAGCACCATTTTCGTATTCTTTGAAAGTCTGAACCTTGGAGGCAGATTTGAGAGCTCCAAGAGCCTTTCTTCCTCTTTTTTGGACTTTGTTAAGTTGTACCAACCTTGATCATGTGTTTTGATGAGTAAAAGAGGTGTCTTGGCATGTTTGAGGAGTTAAACAAGTAACTAACAGTGGTATGACCCTTAAACAGTATAAAAATGCATGCTTTAACGTGTGTAAGTGTTAAAAATAGAACCTTGGAAGGATATCTTCGCGAAATGCAGAAACTGCATTCTGTCGCGAAATATCCGGATATCTGATCGTGAAATCTCTGGATATTGGATATTTGGATATGGGGATCAGGATATCCGGATATTGATATCCGGATATGGGGATCTGGATATCCGGATATTGATATCCCGATATGTACAGTGAGATATCCGGATATGCCCCGAGGAATATCCGCATATTCTGAAATTTCGTAGAACAGTAGCTGTGCTGTGTGTACAGTAGGCTATTGGGGGGTTTGTGGACCCTGGATTGATGAAGTTGAACTTCTGTAATTAATGAACTAAGTCAGAATCATGTGATTAAGGGCTTATGGCTTTGTTGGAAGCCTTAAGACGTAAATCATAAAAGGAGAACGTAGCATTTATGTTAATGCTTTTGAGCTATGTATGTTGATACACTTGCTCGTCCCAAATCAGATTGTGATCTGCTGTGGGTTGGACTTGAGCTGTGAGGACTCTTGGCATTGGATAGTGATCTTGCAAGGTAAGCTTTCGTGTCCTCGGTTTAGCCATGTTGTGGTTCTACCATATCCCTTGGGAGCATGGTTATATATGCATGCTGTGTTACATGCTTTTGATGTTTTGGAAATGCTATTGAGCTGTTATATGCTAGTGCCTTTGTGATATGCATGTGGTGTTCCACTTATACGGTAAGCCTGAGTATGTAGTACATACGATATGGTGAGGCTGTGGGTGAGGTGCAAGCGTGTTCCTTGTACTACATGTAGGTATAGACGTATTCCTACATTTCTCTGGCCAGTAGAATAGTTTAAACACACATGTCATGAATATCTGTTGCACTGCATAGTTTTGGAACTTATATTGATATAAATGCTTTTAGAACTTATATTGCACATGTAAGTGAGCTTGGGGTGGAAGATCCTTGAGGACCCCTTGTCTTACTGAGATTTCTAGTTTAGAGATCTCACCACATGTTTGGGGAATGCTTATTTCGGGATCAGGTAATATGGGGGTTGAGGCCCCAGGCGGCAGGAGACCGGAGCTGAGTTAGATATTGATGATATTATATGCTGTCATGTTGGATGCTGGATATGCTTGCTGCTTTTATGCTTTTAGCTTCATGTTATGATTTTGGGTTATCTTGTTGAGACTCTGTCGTTTATGCTGTTGATTTGGTAAGCATGGGGATTGTCCATGCCACGTAGACTTGTCATGTCTTGTTTTAATTAGAGTTGTATTAATGTATCAGGATATTGTCCGGATTACGTGAGGTAATGCCGTGACTTAGATACTTACTTTATATTTTATATTGAGGTATTTCAGTTAGATGTTTATTGCAATTTACATACAGGCGATATTTTATGAAAATGATTAAGTAATCAACTTGGCTAAGTATAATGATGTCACA